GATGTGGTGCTGCAGGATAATGCACTGGACTGCAAGGTTGGTTTGAACTGTAAGTTTGCAGTTGAAACCTACCAGCTACTCCTCAGACACCTTAGACAGGGTCACTGTGAGTTGGAACTAACTCCACGACCCTTAACAATAACAACAACAGTGTGCTTTAAAAATAATGTAAAAGCAATTAAATAAACTATCTTCTAAAGGCTTCTTTTAAAATTGTGGGATTAGTAATGGTAGTCAATTTCTACTTTGCTGGATTTCTTTGTATCTTGCACAGGTTTTTTTTTGTTTTGTTTTGTTTTTAATCTTACTAAATGTCTCTTTATAAAATTAATAATACATTTTATTTCTCTAATATTGTCCTCTTTTACAGAAAGAAATACGTAAGCAGCATTTTACATTTGTAATGGCTAGAATTTATGTGGTTTTTGGTTGGTTTTTTTTTTTTTTTTTTGCTTTTCCAGTTTCTAGTGTTATAAAGAGAAAAGATAACTAAAAATTAAGTTTGATAGTTTATTTTTAAAGTATTTAGAATTTTAAAATTCAGCCATTTTCTTTGGCAGTCAGCTTCTTAGGGACAAGAAATTTGCTGATTACTTCTGAAAACTCATAATTTTAAGAGTCCCTGCCTTCCAAGTATCTTAATTTTATATTAGGATTAATTTGTGTAAAATGATGTAGTAAATTGCTTCTCTGTTAAGTGACAAAATAAGCAGTTTTCTAAACATAATTCATCTTTATTCTTTCAATGTTTTGTTTCCCAGCAGATAATCATTTAATAGACATAATCACCACTGATGAATTGCAAACATAACTTCTTCCAGCTATAGTTGTTGTTAAGTGCGGTCGATTCGATTCCGACCCATAGTGACCCTGGTATGGTAGGTAGCATATCTGAAAATAAAAAGTGTTTTTTAATGTAGTATTTTTTAATATCATAATCCTTGTAAATATATCTTAAAATACATAGGACTGTTTATAAAATAGGAGTTTCTCTTTTATTTCTTTCATGATTGAAATTTATAGGAGTTTATAAAATACAATTTAAGCAAATTTTATGACTCTTGTCTAAGATATTTCAAAATAAGCCACAATTACATTTACTACTGTTTAAAATTTATTAGATAATTTTATGTTACTTTTTGGTTTTTTAACACTAGAATTTTGACTTTTTTATTTTTTTAACACTAAAATTTTAGCTCAGTGCTTTAGAGAATTTTCTTTCTTCTTTTTAGTTTAGTGATTTGGAAAAGCTGCCATGTCAATAAGACTGAAAAAGTGTATATTCTAACCTTTCTGCAACTGTAGGGAAAGGTATCACAATTTGACCAGAACTGCGCTTATGATTTTAAACTGTTCAGTAGAGTGCTGTCCTTATCTCTTTTGATTTTAATGACTTTCAAAACACAGAAAGTAGGTGAGAAAATAAAACCTTTCAGAGTAAAATGGTATGAAAGTAAAATTTATGAACTGCTTTGATCTTTTAAAAATTTTGCTTTTCGCATTAATATAAATATGAAAAGCAGCCATCACAGACAAGAGAGTGGAGTCCTTACCAGAAAATAATCTGTTCCTTACACATCAGCGGGAACTAGGCTGAACTTCAGTAGCAATGCTATTTTTAAAGTACAACTGAGGAAGAATGCACGGTGGGAAAACTTTAAACAATATTAGTTTTCCTTAATTTTCAGTGTATAAACATCTCTCTTGGATCAAGCCATGTCATTTCTCTCCTGACTGTGGCAGTAGCTTTTTAGCTGGTTTTCTTACATCACCTCCAGAACTGTATTGTTAAAATCATAGATCTGACCCACATCTCTGATAAAGAACATTTTGTGCGCAATACACATACCATAGTAAGTTTCAGATTTTGAGATACTTTTTTCACTTTAAAATTAGTGAGTTAAATGAACATTTTCTTAGCGGATGAAAATAAAATTAGTAAAACATTTTTGTTAGCATATTGGCAGTATATAATATGATCCCACTTCTGGGAATCTTCCTGAAGAAACTAAATAACACAAGATCTTTCTAATAAAAGGTTTTCATCATAGAATTATAATAGTGAATGTTTTGGATAATTTAAATATTCAACAATAAGAATTTATTGTTATTGTTAAGTACCGTGGCGTCGCTTCCGACTCATAGTGACCCTGTACAGGGTTTCCAAGGCTGTAAATCTTTACGGGAGTAGAAAGCTTCATCTTTCTCCTGTGGAACAGCTGGTAGTTTCGAACTGCCGACCTTGAGGTTAGCAGCCAGATAAGAATACAACTAGGTGGATAATAATTGCTAAAATGTCTCCTTATAACACTTTGTGTATGTGTCTGCTATGATAATGTATCATACGCTATAGTTAATTATAAGGAGCTCTCGTAGCATAGTGGTTATGAGTTGGTCTGCTAACCTAAAAGGTCAGCAGTTCGAAATTACCAGCCGTTCCACTGGAGAAAGATGAGGCTTTCTGCTCTGGTAAAGATTTACAGCCTGAGAAACCCTATGCAGGGTTGTTGAGTCGTAACTGACTCCACAGCATACTACCACCACAACCACCATAGTTAGTTTTATGCATTTCTACCAAAATAATCTTTATTTGTGTCCCAACTGTGCTTAGCACATTGTAAGTTTTCAGTAATGCAAGAAAGAAAAAGACTTACCCGTAGAGACCAAGACCATGGTTAGACCAAGACCATGATTAGGTTTTTCTTTCTCTAGTGAATCCGCAGAAACACTAGAGGTTGTTCTCTTAGACACAGATAATCTGTTGATACCTACCCTGCTGCTTCTCCATTGTTTATTGTACCTCTTTGCATGTGAGTGATATAGTTCTTCTCTTTTCTCAGTCAGATTATATTGCTTTTGTGTAATTCTAGTACATAGTCCTTAGAACCTTACGGACTCAGCCAGGTACAACTCAGCCAGGTACGACTCAGCCAGGTAGACTCAGCCAGGTATGTGTCTGCTCAGCTCTTGTTTGGGTAGAACTTTTGCATCCAGACACTGTTGGACTGCTATGCTAATCAGCCGCTGTGTTGCCTGGTTGGATCCAGTTAACTATGGCCAGGAGGCAGGATAATTTAGAATAGATGCTGCCATTTTAGGATAAGAAATCTCTTAGAGCTACTTCCTCCATTTAGAAGCTTCCTCAGGAGGGCTTGGTGGCACCTAAAAGCTTAATTTGCTGTTCTCTCATAGAGTCTGAACTGCAAACCACTAGGTCGGAGGTTCAAACCCACCAGTTGCTCCTCAGAAACTCTATATACAGTGTTGCTGTGAGTCAGAACCGATTCAACCACACTTAACAACAACAATAGATGCACCTTCCTGAATTTTCTTAGTCATTATAAGCCATGGATGGCCTAGTCTCCCATTTTTACTTTATGGTTTTGGAGGTCTTCTTTTTCAGAATTTTATATTATTTTTATTATAGAAAATGAAGTGGCCATTTAGTCTGTCTCATCTCCTAGTTAAGAAGGGGTTGAAAGCATGATAACCTCTCTATTCTGGTTCCTAAACACATTTGTTGTTGTTGTTGTTGTTAAGTGCCTTCGAGTCGGAGCCGACCCATAGCGACCCTGTACATTTGTAGTTGTTACGTACCATCGAGTTGGTTTCAACTCACAGTGACCTTGTATAGGGATACCAAGGCTTGTAAATCTTTGCAGGAGCAGAGAGCTTCCTCTTTCTCCTGCAAGGTGGCTGGTGCACACGAACTGCTGACCTTGTGACATGCTTGTAGAGAAGTAAATGTTCCATAATTAGAATTTTCATGGCTTAATCACACTTAAATGAGAATACCAAAATATTTTCAATCAAAAAATATTTAACAGAAAACTTAAAAGCTTTTAAAAAAAAAAAAAAACTGCACTGAAACATAACGCTGACAATCTGTCAGCTTTTACTAATAGAATGTTGTTGTTGTTGTTGTTGTTTATGTGCCATTGAGTCAGTTCCTACTCATATCAACCCTGTATAGTGTTTATGAGGAGCAGCTGGTGGGTTTTAACTGCTGACCTCACAGTTCACACCAACCTTGTGGTCCAGTACCACACTTGTTGTTAAGTATTGTCAAGTCAGTTCCGACCCATGAGTGACCCTGCATAGGGTATCCATGGAGCAGCTGGTGAGCTTGAACCACCAACCTTGCAGTTCAAACGACTTTGTAGTCTGGCACATTAACCCACAGCACCACACCAGGACTCCGCAGTGCCACACTAGGACTCCGCTTATAGAATAGCAAGTGGAAAAACAATAATTACTGTATTCTCTGTTGTCTAAATTAATCTCTCCATTTTCCTTAAAGTTTTAAAACTTAATCGTATGTATAATTTCTGGGGGGAGGGAAGATATATATATATACACACACATATGTATATATGGCAGGTACATTGTTTTAGAAAGTTGCATATTTTGAATTTATCATCTTTCCTTTAGCTTTCAGATTGATGTCTAATAGCATACTGTTAGAGACTATTTTATTATAGAGGTTAATGATTTTCAGTCATGCTATAAAAAGACATTTTGGGGAAACTACTATGAATTCAGAATCCTGGTGTGGTGCTGTGGGTTAATGCACCAGACTGCAAAGCCATTTGAACTGCAAGGTCGGCGGTTCAAGCTTACCAGACACTCCTCGGAAACCCTATACAAGGTCGCTGTGGGTCGGAATTGATTCAATGGCACAATCCAGCAACAACAACTATGAATCCAGCATTGTGCGTGGTAGTAGGTTAAACCATGATTTAATCCATGCAGTGATCTTAGGAGTTTTCTTCCATCTGAGACCCGACACTTACTTTGGTTTCAAATGACGCAGTTTGTTCTACTTATTTTAGTAAGGAACCCTAACAGTGTAGTGGATTACGTGTTGGACTACTAACCTCTAGGTCGGCAGTTCAAATCCACTTATTTTAGTACTTTATCAGTAAAGTGCCTCAATTTAACTTTTCTTATAATCACCACTAATACATAAAAACTTTTTTTTTTTTCTTTTTTACAAACAGGATAAAAGAATCAGAGTATCTCAACCATTGACACGAGGACCAAGTGCCTTTATTCCCGAAAAGGAAGTAAGTTTATCTGTTTTAGAGTCTATAAAACGCTATAAAGGATAACTTCATTATATAAAAACATTTTTAATACAAAATTGAGAAAAGTATTTTGTTCTTGAATTTCTTACTCAGATGTCAGGAAAGCACAGAGGTATTTTCTTTTCAACTTCACTTAAAAACTTGAGTGTCTTAATATTTTGAAAGGATATAAATGATACCATGTTTTCATTTCAAATACAGCTTTCTTGAGCAAAGCTGCTAAGAGTAGTAAAACCTTACATAGGGTCACTGTGAGAGGGATTGACTGGATTGACTGGTATTTAACAATTTTACTACTACTGTTAGCCTAAAGGTTTTAACTTTTTACTTGGTCACTGTTTTCATGGTGATTATAGGTTATATAAACTTTAAGAAAAGATATTTTAAAATAAAATAGTGAGCTTCCTAACTAAGCCTATTGAATAAAACATGATATTCCATCATGTTGTAAGTTTTTTATTGGATAGGATGTCACAGGACTTCTGATTCAATTTGGTACCCTTCCGTAGAAGTGGGATGTCAAGGTGGTAAATGCAAGGAAAAGGGTTGTAAAATAACACAAAGATGATTATAATGTTTTTAAAAATTATGCCTATTTTTCAAAACTATTGTTGTTAAGGAGCTCTGGTAGTGTAGTGGTTACGAATTGGGCTGCTAATCTCACAGTCAGCAGTTCGAAACTACCAGCAGTTCCACGGGGAAAGGATCAAGCTTTCTGCTCCCATGAAGATTCACAGCCTCAGAAACCCTACACAGGGTCTCGATGAGTCAAAACCGATTCCATGGCATACCACCATTACTGTTGTTGTTAACTGCCATAGAGTCAATTCTGACTCATAGCAATCCTGTCTAGGATTTCCGAGAAGTGGCTTGTGGGTTTGAACTGCTGACCCTGTGGTTAACGGTCCAATGCTTAGCCACATCAGGACTTCTTCAAGGCCATTTCTATATGAAAGATCACAGCAATGCACGCACCTTCTAGATTCCTAGGTGCCTCTCAGATATGTTTGGGCAAAGTTAAAGGTTAAGAACCACTATTTCAAGGAACTATTAGCTCATCTTGAATATAGTTAGCATTTTACCAACTCACAGTGTACTGTAAAGCTATCATTTATCTTCAGACACCAAGATTATCCCTATATTATTCTGAAATCAGTCAAGAAATATTCATAGAGTACCTAAGCATTAAAAAGGGGGCTAGTATAATACTCAGAAACCCTATACAGGATCTCTATGGGTCGGAACCTGACTCAACGGCACTTAACTACAACAACAGTAATTTAAAAAGGGATTGTCTTCTGCCTATAACTGATTGGAATAAGTAAAATGGTACTACAACATGCCCAGTGAAGGAGGCTTTCTGCAGAGCATCTACATTACATAAGACCATAGGTGGAGTCCTGAACCCCACCCAGAATCTTCTGAGGTGGAAAATTTCAACATTAAAGGACAAGCAGACCAGCCTGGAGCGGCTAGAAGAACAGGAGATACTTCTTGAAAGAAAGACCAACAGGAAAAATACAAAACAGTAAAGGCAATCTGATTGATTACTACAAGAACATGCAAGTTGCTCACCCAGGAGACATCAAGGCAAGTAGTCGGGTCCGCTCAGGGCAAACCCCCTTCCAAGACTAAGACTCAATGGGAATACACACTCTGATTGGTGACCACGTTTGTCACTGATAAGGGGAAGTGAGGGAAAAACAGCAATGAAGCTGCAAGCTAAGCCCTACAAAGCTCAATAGACTCCTATGAACCCGGGTAGAGAACTGGTTGGCCAGCAGTCCCCAGGACTCTTGGGCCCAGAGTCAGTCAGTAGCCACAGAGGACTAGAGTAGAGAGTGAAGCGTCCAGCTGACAAGAAGAGAGGACATATTCATAAGAACACCCACACTTGCAGTTAATACCCACTTGACCTGGCTTCAATGACTGGATGATCAGAGCTCAACTAGAAGAAAGAAGAGGAAAAAAAAGAGTAATCTGATACAATATGATAAACTTGACCTACACCTATGGAGGCAGTAGCTCAAAAGAGGGAACAAATCTTTACAATGAGGATCATTCCCACCCCCTCCATACACAGAGTAGACAGGGATGGGCACCTTGGACATTTGGTTACCCAAATGGGAGGCTACACAGGCAAGAAGTGACTGGCTTATAAGCTTTCAAGAGAGAACCTAGATCCAGGGGGCACTGAGGAAGGTAGAATCTCCACTGAGTAGTATCCAGTCTGTCTGGACGGGGCTGATGAAAGGAAATGGGGATAGGTTTCTTGTGATACAATAGTGAATAATTGTTATCAGGACGGGCTGTGAGGGTTGAAAATGTAAAGGTAGGTGTTTTGCAGCAAAAGGAGGGGAATGACTGACTTTGCAGTGTAGGAGTGGAGGTCCCTGGGACCATCAAGGGAAAAGAGCAGAGAGCGAGACCCTACCCAGAGAAGCATTGATGGCAGAGATGATGGTATGAGATGCAGCGGCTGGGGACTTTAGATCCAGAGAGGGAGAGGGGCTGTGTGCTGACGACCAGGGGTCAGGCTTGTAGGATATACCCTTTGGTTGGTTGATGATGCGTGGAGGGGATTGTAACCGTGGCATTGAAATGATATATGATAGGATGAATATAAAGCTAATGTTCTCCCATGTAAACTATCACATAATAAAACATTAAAAAAAAAAAAAAAAGGATTGGTGTGGTGCTGTAGAATAAGCACTAGACTGGTAAACTCACGGTAGGTAGAATCCATCAGCCACTATTGGAAACCCTATATGAATGGGGTCGATATGAGTCAGAACTGACTACACAACAACAATAAATAACAGCATAATTAGAATAATGGATGCCTGATTATAAGGTTCTGCTGTGCATAAAGTCACTATGGGTCAATGCCGACTTGATGGCATCTAACAACAACAGCAGCAATGCCTTATCATTGCTAGAACTGGCACTTCCTTCATCTTCTTATCACTTTTTAGTAACATTACTATTTAAATGAAAATCCAAAGTATAGTGGTATTATTTCTGTGGCTCAAAGACAACAGTTGGTCTCAGTGGTGACCACACATCAGAGAAACTGCTATGCGTATGCCTATTTCTCTCCTATAACTAGGTGCTGCTCTTAGTGGTATGATTGCCTGGGACATAAAGATGTACTGAAATACAGTTGACAGTGTAGATTTTAAGATAATCTGGTTTGTAGATGCCACCACTGTTGTCAGGATCTGTTGGCTCAGAAGAATCTATCAGTATATTCCAGGAATTCCATTAAACAAAAGAAGCTTCTGAGAAGAAAAACAATAACAGCAAATATCTCTCCCAAACTGTATATGGTTCATCTGGATCCTTTTATAGTTTTAACAATCATCTTGGTCCCTATAGTAGACAAAAAGGGGGGAAATAAGCAAATGAAATGTATTCTTGGTTTTATAATGAGCTGAAATAAAATAAGGAAACATGCATCTCATGTCCATTAATTTCCACAGAGTTGGGTCTTTCTAAAAGGTGCTAATAAGTTCTTAACACCTTCAGAGCCAGTTTTTGGCGTGAAGCCCACAAACTGTCATTGTGCCATAATGCTGTGTAAAAATAATCTGATTTGGAAAAGCTCCTTTGATTTCCTAAGATGGAGGTTGTCTTTTTTAATACCTTACCTTGTTTCTGGTAATTAATGTGATAAGCTCGAAATAAGAATGATAGTATTCAGTGTACTTATTAATTTTTCAATTAACACTTTCTTATAAATTATCTTATTTTTCTTCATCCTCAGGAAGACTTCAAAAAGTTTTTGATTTTTGTTTTTCTCTTAATGTTGAATGATTAAAAAAACCAACAAACAGGCAAATGATCATACTGAAGATATTTGTCTAAAGAAAATGTGATTAATTATCTTCATTGACTGTCATGATAGAATTGCATGTAGTAAAATGCCTCTGCCTGTCCACGAGTTAGTTATGACAATGGGCAGGCAAGTGGGCCCCAAAAATCTGCCTGTATGCCTGGCAAAACAGATGGAGCATCTTTTCTCCGGTTTCATAGATATGTGTAGAATGTTTCATAATTTGACATTTGTTGTTTAATAAATTGTGGTATCGAAGCCAAAAATGACTAATGTTTTCTTTGATATTGCTGTTTCTAGTATGAGCAAGTGCATATTTCAGTGTCTGTTAATATTAAAAGAACATTCATTTGCTTCAGTGGTGGCATAATTTATGTAAACCAAGGATATGTTTGCTACTCAGTAACTGTTTTGTTTTGCATTTCTTGGTAATAAGGTTGTCCAAGCAAATACAGTAGATGAACGTACTAACTTTCTTGTGGAAGAATACTCTACATCCGGTCGTCTGGACAACATCACACAGGTCATGAGTTTACACACTCAGTACCTAGAGTCTTTCTTGAGGAGCCAGTTTTACATGTTGCGCATGGATGGCCCCCTTCCTCTACCATACAGGCACTATATCGCAATCATGGTGGGTAACTTGTTTTCTTACTTTTTACTATTTTCATAGAACTTCTTTCTCCCTTCTCACTTTGTGTGTACATGTGTACATGGCTAAGTAAAATGTTATGAAAGTTAAATTGAAGAAGCCTGTGACCTTTTGGGTACCAAGTCCCTTGGTTACATATTGCATGCTTTAGACCACTTAATATGCTGAATGTTTCTCATTTAATTGTCAGTAAACACATTTTCCATATTTAATGTTTTATGATTAAAAATGCTTATAGGGTCCAAAATAATATCACACAAGTGTTGTTTTTGTTCTTGATATCCTGTTTTTATTATTAATTAAAAGCAGGTTGTTTGTGACATCTTGCTTAGTCATACTGTTCATGAAGAATATCACTAATTTGACTGAGCTGTCAGTAAGTATAAAGGCTGATTCTGACTGCATAGAAGGAAGGGATCAGGGTGGTTCAGTTCATTTTCTCTTATTCATGACTGGAGTCATGTTGTCTTAAAGGGAATAAGGGAAGTACCTAAATTCGCATGAATTCTGTATTGGTAGAATATGCATACAAGTTAATGAGACTGTATTACATATTAGACAAAATCTAGGAGATACCATTTACCATAATGAAAAAAATTATACAACATATGGATCCTTAACATAGATAGTGGGTTCTGGGTTGACCTATACCAACTGCTGGATGGATGGAGTAATTGGTTTCATGTGATAATGATTTGCTTATACATGCATTCATTCAAAAATCAATTCCAAAAAAGCATTGGAATGGGATTTTTAGATGGGTGATTCTCAAAGTAAAAAACATTGGCTACAAATATTATTAACTCAATCTAAATGATTTATTTATAAACAGTGAAGTAATACTACGTCATGATTGTTATATCACTGAACTCTTTTTGTGTGTGTTTAGGCTGCAGCTAGGCATCAGTGTTCTTACTTAATAAACATGCATGTGGATGAATTTTTAAAGACCGGAGGTATGGCTGAGTGGTTGAATGGTTTGGAATATGTACCACAAAGACTGAAAAACCTTAATGAAATAAATAAGCTGCTAGCACACCGGCCCTGGCTGATCACAAAAGAGCACATTCAGGTACTGAGTGGTTTTTTCATTTTTAAATCAAGGGAAATTTACTAATTCTGAGAGTTAATTGTTTAGCTAAGGGTTTACTTAAGACTTAATTTTTTAAAGCTTTGCACATTAAGAACACAAAAAAATAATGAAATAGTATGTTAACATGTATAGAAAAGATAAATTTAGAAAGTTAGTGGGTTTCAGTATAAAATGAAGCATTCTCTTTAAGTTACTCTTAATTCACCTGGATAAGTACATTGAAAAGTGGCTATGAGAAAAGTTGATTTCTGTTGTCAAGCAGTAAGTGGAACAAAGAAAATTCATTAGCATGATGGGATGCCTGGGTTCTAGTCTCTATTCCGTTACTCACAAATTTGTGACCTTAAATCGGTGAGCTTCAATGGGCTTCCATTCCCTCTTCTGTAAAATGAGGGGGCGCAATTCAGTGAGCACCAAACTGTTTTCTAGTTCTAACATTCCATAATTGTAAGAGTCTCAAAAAATGGTTTTGCAAATTAAAAAGGGGTCCACCAGCTGTTGTGAATCATTAAGTACTTTTAAAAAGAGTTTAGAGAAGAAATAGACTTGTGCTTGGCTGGAATACCTGTACTTTAAAAGGAACTTTCATCAAAGGCCTATGGGGTGAGTGCAGCGTGCTTGATACATGGTTGTTGTTGTTATGTACTGTGGAGTCAGTTCCGACTCATAGCAACCCTGTATAGAGTTTCCGAGGCTATAATCTTTACAGGAGCAGAAAGCCTCATCTTTCTCCCGTGGAACAGCTGGTAGTTTTAAACTGCCGACCTTGAGGTTTGCAGTCCGATTCGTAACCACTAGGCTACCAGAGCTCTTTTGATACATGGTAGGTATTCAGTAAATAGTAGCTCTGATCTAAATCAGGAGCCTGGGTAGTGCAAATATTGTATTCTGCTGCTGACCAAATGTTTGGTGGCTTAAACTCCCCAGCGCCTCTGCTAAGAATCTACTTTTATAAAAGACAACAACCAAGAAAACCCTGAGGACCAGTTGTAGTCTGCAACACATGGGGTCACCATGAGTCAACACAACAGCATTATATGAATTATCAGTAGAACCAAACTCACTGCCATCACGTTGATTCCAATAACAGACAGCATCATTTTCTCCCATGGGAAGCTAGTGGATGTGAACTGCCGACCATGTGATTAGCAGCCCAGTGCCCAGAGCACTACCAGGGATCCCCACTCTTACTAGAAACCTTTCTTTTTTAAAATCTCTGTATCTAGTGAACAGAAATGTTCTTGGGGTTTTGGGTTTTTTTAATCCCCTTACTAGAGTCCATTATTGTTGTTGTGCAGTGCCGTTGAGTCAGTTCCGACCTATAGCGATCCTGTCACTATAATTCTCCTCCAAGGAGCAGCTGGTGAGCTTGAACCACCAACATTGCAATTCAAACGGCTTTGCAGTCTAGTGCATTAACCTACAGCACCATACCAGGACTCCAGAGTCCAACATACTTGTTAGATAATACATACTTGTTAGTTATTTGCCTAGTTATTTAACCAAATTTAGCTTTTATAGATATAGCTCTAAATTTTGTAGGAGTCCTGGTGGTGCTGTAAGGATAAGCATTGAACTGCTAACCACAAGTTTGGCAGTTCAAATCCACCCACTGCTCAACAGGAGAAAGATAAGGCTTTCTGCTTCCATAATGATTTACAGTCCAAGAAACCCTACACAGGGTCGCTATGAGTCAAAATTGACTTGATGATAGTGGTTTCTAAGTCTACCTTTTATAAATCTCTGATCCTCTTATCAGAAATCTGTAAATTCCTGTGTTATCTTGAGGATTATGTGTGCTTTAATAATCATTCCATTAGAGAAAGGAGTCAGTCGTATTTATTTTGAGTGTGGATTACTTTGTGAAAGATACCTTGGTGGGTCTAAGAAGATAAGGACCCTGCCTGCCCTTGGGTTCTTAAGAGTCTAGGGAGAAAAAAGGCAACTGCGGGAAGACAATTAAGCACAGCATAATTAAGAGAATGGGATCCCAATGTTGTTAATGGGGGTCAAAGATGTTTTCATGGGAGAGGTATCATTTGAGCAGTGTCTTGAAGAATAACTGGGAGTTTTCAAGGGCAGGAGAGCATTCCAAACAATGAATATAGTATGCAATATTGTGATTATACTGAAACAGTGGTTACTGTATTCTATGCATTTTATATAATGTGAGAATAAGAAAAGGGAAGAATTGTCATAATTTTATAACTTGATGAATATCGTATAAAGGAACTCACATTTAACCTCAAGAAATTATGGTCTCCAGAGTTATGTTATAGTACTCCAAGGGGTATACACATGTATATGTGTACATGTGCATGTTCTTATAGCATCCTTTGCCATTTCTGTATTTGAGTAGTTTATAATACTGTGTAAGCTTATACTAATTCATGTCTGAATGAAGTCCTGGTGTGGCGCTATAGGATAAGCACTCAGTTGCTAACTACAAGGTTGGTGGTTCAAACCCACCATCTGCTCCTCGGAAACCCTATACAGGATCGCCATAAGCCAGAACTGACTCAACACCAATATAACAGTTGTTGTTGTTATGTGCTGTGGAGTTGGTTCAACTCATAGTGAGTGACCTTGTACTGGATTTCCGAAGTTGTAAATCTATGGGATCAGAAAGCCTCATCTTTCTCCCACGAAACAGCAGGTAGTTTTGAACTGCTGACTGTGAGGTTAGCAGCCCAATTCGTAACCACTACGCTACCAGTACATGTATATAAATAGCTGTATGAAATTTGGTAGATTTTCCCATGCTTTTAAATTTTTCTTTATAGCAATTTTCATGTCTATGATTTTCACATTTTCTCTTACTTACTTTCTCATTTTAGAAGCTTGTCAAAACTGGGGAAAATAATTGGTCTCTGCCAGAACTGGTACACGCTGTGGTCCTACTGACGCATTATCATGCTTTGGCAAGCTTTGTTTTTGGTAGTGGCATCAATCCAGAGAGAGACCCAGAAATCGCCAATGGATTCAGACTAATATCAGTCAGTAATTTCTGCGTGTGTGATCTTGCCAATGACAACAACATAGAAAATGCGTCCCTTACAAGCAACAACTTTGGGGTTTGTTTTCTGACTTTTTTTGTGTGTTTTAAACTATGTTTCCTGTACTACTTTTGCTTTCTAGAAGGAATTTATTCTCTAATTAAAAAGCATATAATATATGTGAACTGTTTTTGCATATATTTTTTAATATAAAATTTATATGTATACTCATATAGCACAACATTTGACATTTCAGCCCCTTTTTTTTTTTTTTCCACATGTACAGACCAGTGTGTAATTTTTATTACTGCAAAAATTTAACTGGTACCTGAAGTTCTGGTTTGTTTTAAAGAGACTTTTAGAACACTTAGAAATGATTGCAAATTATATAGACTGAAACAGTGATGCATTCTAATGTTACATACTTTGAAGAGCAAATCCCAGAATATTGTATTCATTTCTATAAAATATTGAAACAAACAATAGAAAATATATTTTATGACAGTAGATAGTAAAGACAAAGTGGAGCCCTGATGTGGCACTATGGGTTAATGGGCTAGATTGCACAGTCAGTTTGAACCACAAGGTTGGAGATTCAAGCTCACCAGCCGCTCTATGGAAACCCTGTATATACAGCGTCGTTCTGGGTCACAACGGACTTGACAACAGCATGTTTCTTTAAAATTATTATTCAATATATATGTATACCATATGCTGTAATTCTAGATGGCAGATGTTTACACTTAAAAATTACTTTTTAAATTTTACTATTTTAACTGAAGCAAAAAGATTGCCCTGTCAAAAATGTTTGAATCTGCCTTATGATTTTCTTTGAAGTTTGTGGAAAACCCATCTAAAGAAGAATATAATCACTGTGCCCACAACACTGTACATAATAAAGTGGTATTTGGGAAATGGAAACATTTACTAGAACTGTTTTTAAAGATAATAACACTATCTTCTGCTTACAGATTGTGGATTCACTAAGTGAGCTCGAGGCCTTAATGGTCAGGATGAAAAGGCTTCACGAAGAAAGGGAAGATGAAGAGGCATCTCAGGAAGAAATGAGCACTCGTTTTGAGAAGGAAACAAAAGAAAGTCTGTTTGTGGTTCCTGGAGATACTCTCCATTCATTTCCTCAGTCAGGTGCTTATTTTTACTGTCTGCATTCTGCTTGTTCTTAGAGCCCTGACAGAACAAACTTCAGTGTGTCCCAGGTGGATATGTGAAAATAATTTTACTCCTAGTTTCTGTTTATTTAGTTCCCTTCTTCTCGGTTACCCTAATGCTACTGCTTTCCCCCTTGGTTTTCAGATCCAGTTGAGAGGAACTCCCAATTTTGTGGTTAATTTACAGTTGGTACTCTATCCTTGATGAAATGTTAAAAGCAGACCAATTGCTTATAAAATGAGATTAAAATATTTAATTCATCCTACTTTTGTTATCTCTTAATAAGTGAACTCTTTTAGAAGATGTTGTTGTGACACACTGAAGTGCTGTCAAGTGGATTTCGACTCATAGCAACCCTGTATATGGTTTCCGAGGAGCAACTCTAGTGGGTTTGATCCACCAACCTTGTGATTCAAACCAACCTTGCAGTGCAGTACTTACCCTACAGCGCCACACCAGGCCTCCTTTAATAAATATAATAGAAGAGACTTGTTGTGTAATAGGAAACATACTAAGCTTTGGGTAATTTCTCAATAACTCGATATAGGCTTTATTGTTGTTATTGTTAAATGCCATCAAGTCAGTTCTGACTTATAACAATCCTGTATAAGGTTTCCAAGGAGTGACTGGTGAGTCTGAACCACTGACCTGGTAGTCCATACTGACCTTGCCGTCCAGTGTTTTACCTCACAGTGCCATACCAGGACTACAATACGTGCTTTAAACAATATTAAGTACACTATACAAATAAGTCAGTACAGTTTCCCCATTCATATGCATGTGTGATTGTTTAGTTATATGTTGTTCAGTACCATTGAGCTGGTTCTGACATACAGTGACGCTGTATAGGGTTTCCAAGAAGCCCTTGGTGGATTTATCCTACAGTATCATACCAGGACTCCAGATGGCTATGTGTACATGTGTGTTTATAAAATACCATTTTCTTTCTTTGGAGTTTGGAGAGGGATGGGGATTATTCTCACACAGCTGCCTATCCACGTTAGTTCTAAAATTACATTCCACTTAGATTTGTGTTGCTTTAGAGAAATTTTTCTTTGAAATTCTAATGTAAATTATTTTAGTCCTCTTTTTCCTATAAATTTGAAGAAATCATTCTGTATTGAAAGCTAGGATATTTTTTATTCCTTCTAATTTAAAAGACGGAGTCCTGGCGTGGCACTGTGGGTTAATGGATGAGACTACAAAGTCGTTTGAATTGCAACCTCAGTTGCTCCTTGGAAACCCTATACAGGGTCGCTATGGGTCAGAATCGACTCGACAGCACTTAACAACAACAACAACAATCTAAATGACACATTGTTTTTTCTAATAGTCTTATGGCTTTTTCAATAGGGAGGTAACTTTTCGATTATGACAAAAAAATATGTTGACGCCCACATAGTAGTTTATTGTTGTTGAGTGCTATCAAGTCGGTTCCAACTCATAGCAACCGTGTAGAGAGTTTCCAAGGAGTGGCTGGTGAGCTCGAACTGCCAACCTCACAGTTCAAACCAACTTTGCCACCCCAGCACACTAACTCACGGTACCATACCAGGACTCCACAGTTTATTACTAAAGTTGTATAGCTTTAATTAAAAGTTTAAATCTTTCGAAAGTCATCAATCCACATAAGATTTATTTTCAAATAGAAATTCGTGGATTTAAAGGGGCTTCAGAATTGCTGTTTTAAGGCTGGCCATTCTATTAAATTCTAAGGGTAATTGTATTGTCCACAGCCTGTTTGCTGACATTAAATATGACATTTACTAATAGTTCTCAGAAGTTTTACCAGGAGGAATAAGAACCCTTTTATCATTTTCCTTGTGTATCCTATTATAAAAGATTTTAATTATCAAACTGAATATATTAACTAACAATTCTTTTTTAATCCATTAAAAGATACTGTAACTGTAAATCAGAGCTTCAAATCAGCAGGAAATCCCAAATAAAGAAACTTGGCATTTTAGTTATCAGTGTAATATTCATTCTACAAACATTTATTGAGTATCCAATATAGTCTCAACACTGTGGTAGGTACAGAGGTTCTAAGTCTCAATAAGACATGAACCCTCCTGTCAGGGAGCTCTCAGGCTAGTGGTAGAGAACTGAATGATTATGGTACACAGCAGAATGTAAAGATGGGTGAGCATAGAAGAGGGTGCTGAATCCAGTCCTGGGAGGGAGGGGTGTGCACAGAAGGGAGCCTTGAGAATTACTATTGGAGCTGTCTTAAAGCAGGATGAGAGGATACCAGGCCGTGCCTTGGGAACAACGGAAGTGGTAACCAGCGTCCTAGCCTGAGCAAAGTCATGATGTTAAGGAAATAGGTTTCTGTGTTATAGGACAAGTGGCTCCGTGTGGTTAGGATGTAAATCAAGAGATAAATTGTGAGTGGCAACTAGTTAGGTTAACAAGGACCTTATCATAATGGTCTTTAAAACTTAAGGAACATGTAGCCTGCCATATTTCTGACATTTAAAGTGAAGGTGTCTGTGAGGCATCCCATCTAGAGATATCTAGCACATGGCTATGTGTAATAGCCAACTCCAGAATCACATTTACCAGAGGAAAACACTTGGTTGTGCAAAACAGTACAGTAAACGATCTCTCTAGAGAGAAACAGCTTTGCAGAACTTATCTATCACTACTCTTGGTTTCATTTTGCTTTGCAACCCACAAAACTACTAGTTTTCATAATCGCGTCAGTGATTGCTAGTACATTTTTTTCTTGCTTCATTCCTGTTGATTATGCTATAATGGACAATGTTAAGCAAAGTATCATCTATTTTATAAATGTTAAGAGATAATGCAAAGTACTTCTCTTTACCAGAATGTTAATTGTTGTTAAGTGCCAAAAAGTCAATTCTGACCCATAGCTTCCCAGTATAGGGTTTCCTAGGAGCGACTGGTGAACTTGAACCGCCAACCTTGTGGTTCAAACCAACTTTGCAGTCTAGCACATAAACCCATAGTTCCACACCAAGAGTCCTTTACCAGAATAGAGTGCTAGAATACAAGAAGAAAGCAAAATTGAGTATGGGATTGAGCTAGGGAGAAGTCTGAGATTTCTCTTTAGAGAACTGAAAGTCTTTTTATAAGCTTCAGGTCAATTTCAAGCAATATAATATTTAGACGTTCTCTACCTATTCACTTTGCATGTCTTATTTACTGACAATGGTATTAGTAAAATATACTCAGCTGACTTTTTCTTAAGTAGATATTTCGTTTTGTATTAATAAAGCAAATAAAAAGTACTTTTTTAAAAGTCTGCTGTCTTAAATGTTTTTGCCCATTAGCAGTGTAGTCATATAGTAAAGAATGCCGAGATGTCAGGCAAGAATAAATTACTAGCTGTGATACATAGTGAAGGTTATGTGTCAGCTTGGCTGGGCCGTAATTCTGAGTGGTTTGATTTATATAATCATCCTCCATTGTGTGATCTGATATAGTCACCTTCCATTTTTGCATAATGCTGATTTTTGCATAAACAATCTGGTCTTTGAAACCTAACCGTGTTGACAAGTGAGGAGTGGGTATATATTTTAATTTTTGTTTAAACTTTTATTTAAGAATTGTATACATACCTAAAAGGGCACATATCTAAAAAGTATAAAGTTGAATGAATTTTCACAAACTGAACTCAACAAAGATAGTCTGTTATGCGTAATAAAGTAGTTGTTGTTATGTGCCCTTGAGTTGGTTCTGACTCAATAGCAACCCCGTATAGGGCTTTTGAGGTATGGCTGGTGAGTTTGAACTGCCAACCCTGTGGTTCACACCAACCTTGCGGTCCAGTGTTTTATCTTACAGTGCCACAGCAGAACACCATAAAAAAGCTAGGTGATCATTTTAAGGAGATATAGCCTGGACAGAAGTTGCATAGCCTGGACACTTGATCTTTCTTGCTGTCATCAGGGAATCCAAATTGGGCAGCAATTTAAGGAAAGGTTAAAAACTAGAGAGAGAAGAATATTTATTAGTAAGCTTTACATGAAATAGCAAAAATTAAGTATGATAAAGAATTGCTAGTCTACCAGCACTTTTTTCAGATTAATTCATTTAATTGCCCTTGTTTTCCAAGTCTCTCAAGACTTCATCCAGTTAAGAATTATAGTTCTTATTATGTCATAAAGTTAGTTGCTTTACTGAGAAAATATTGTTTATTGTACAAAATGAGCTCTCCCCCCACCCCCTTTTATTTTGACGAATATACAAGGAAAAATCAAAAAGTACTGCTAGGATTTTAGTTAATTCATGCATTGGTTTATTCCAAACAAAACATGTTTAAACATGCCTTTGCAACTAGTAGCTGGCTGAGGACAATTTATCTGATGCTACACCTGTCTTAGTCTCGTTGTTGTTGTTGTTGTGTGCCGTGGAGGCTATTCCGACTCTTAGTGACCCTGTACAGGGTTTCCGAGCCTGTAAATCTTTACGGGAGCAGAAAGCCTCATCTTTATCCCGCGGAAAAGCTGGTAGTTTCAAACTGCTGACCGTGAGATTAGCAGCCTGATTCATAACCATTGCGCTACCGTTAGGGTTCCTTCAAAAACTAAGTCCATTCAGAACAGTGCCTTCAGAGGAGATCTGTTGGGCCAGTAAAATTCAAGGCGTAGTGGTCAGCTCAGAAAGTTACAGTGACTTTTTTTAGATTCCATAGAGATCATCTTGATAGAGTTTCCCAACGGACACAGTACGATTACAGGAGCTTATTAGGAAAATTTTTAAACAAAACTGAAAACTCCTTTGGTGAGAAAAGGCCAGCATAGTTGCACTGAGGACATTTTTTTCCATCACAACAATGTTCCTGTTCATTTTTCAAGTGTAGCAAGCATTGTCCTGTGATTTCATTGGTTAACCTTACCCCACCCACCCTAAAGCCCCGATCTTTCCCCTTCAGATTTCCTTTTAATTTCACAACGCAAATTATGTTCCTTTTCAGTGTTCTCTGAGTGCCTTGATATGCCCCAAACTGCCATTCTGATGTGGCATCAATCAAAGAACACAGGATTCTTTGGGAAAAGGTTAGAGAGATGGACACATCTTCTTCAGAAGAAAATAGACTTAGATGGAGAGATTTGTTGAGAAATACTATCACATTTTGATATTTTCATATAATAAAGGTTTATTATTAAATGACTTTGTAGGAATATTTTGGACTTATCCTTGTATGTTCATTTTCTAGAGTATTTTTGTTGTTAACAGTAGTGTCGAGTCTTTCCCGGCTCATAGTGGAAATGTCTCACCTCACAAGGTTGTAGATGGGACTCAGGATTCCACCTAAGGTCCTATTTCACTGAGCAAGTTGTAGAAACCCTTTTAGGTATTCTAATCTGTTAGAATACCTAAGGCTGAAGGCGGGCTTACAAGTTTTCTCTAATCATGTTTCCCAACATTCCTTTCTATACCACTCAAGTGTCTATTTTACAACAGTAGGTAAGGGAAACTAATATTCATAAGGCAGTCAAGGATTTTAGTATTATTTACCCTCTTAGTATTATTTACAGATCCCTGTATCCCAGAGCCCTGTTGTTCCAAGGTTGAATATGCATCACTATTTCCCTCTGTCCCACTGGGCCATGCAAACCTGTCTCAGTGTTCCCCTATCTATCTTGTTCTTCTGCCTCCTCCCCCCTTCTTGTATTGCCCTCCCCAACACCTAAAATAAACCCCTCACCCCAACCCCATTGTGGTTACCTTATATTCCATTAGTTCTTCCCTCCATTTAAGATAGTCTGTTTTATCCAGTAATCTACCTGACCTTCCCACCACCTGGATCTCTGTTCTTCTGTGTTTACCTTTTTTCACATTGTAATTGTTTTGATCATAGACTGACCTCCCAGATCCTCTGTTCTTATAATTTTATTCTGTTCTTGACTCTTTAATTTGTCCACTGAGTTCAGGTTGATGCTGCCACTTACATCATTCTGTAGTTTTTTATACTAACTTTTTTGAAGTATTTAAAAATATTTTGAAAATTCAGTTCAATTAAGGTAGACTTTGACCTTCATCTCTCCTTTTATACTCCATTTATGCTCCCAGAGAGCTAAAAAATCTATTTCAATTTAAATTCAAAGTCCTATGGCAGCTGGATGATCAGAACTTGACTAGAAGAAAGAAGAGGAAAAAAAAAAAGTAATCTACAATTTGATGAACTTGACCTATACTTATGGATGTAGTAGCTCAAAAAAGGGAACAAATTCTTTACAGCGAGGATCATTCCCACCCTCTCGGTATGCAGGGTTGACAGAGATGGGCAACTTAGACATTGGCTACCCAAAAGGGGGGAGCTACAAAGGCATGAAGTGACTGGCTTATAAGCTTTCAAGAAGGAGCCTAGTTCCAGAGAGGGTGGGGGAAGGTAGAATTTCCACTGAGTGGTTTCCAATCTGCCTGGATGTGGCAGATGAAAGGAGATGGGGATAAGACTTTTGTGGTACAATAGTGAATAATTGCTATCAGGACTGACTGTGAGGGTTAGAAATGTAAAGGTAGATGTTTGTAACAAAAGGAAGGGAGTGATTGATTTTGCAGTCTAGGAGCGGAGGTCCCTGGGACCATCAAGGGAGAGGAGTGGAGTGCAGGTCCCTACCCAGAGAAGCAGTAATGCCAGAAATGGAGGCAGAGTCGATGACATGGAGAGATGGAGCAGCTGGGGACTCTGGACTCAGGGAAAGAGAGGGCCTGTGTGCTGCTGGCTGTGGGGCAGACTTGCAGGGTATACCCTTTGGTTGTTTGATGATGCATGTAGGGGATTATAATCATTGCAATGAAACGAAATATGATAGGATGAATGTAAATCTAATGTTCTTCCATGTAAACTATCACATAACTCACAACAAAAACTTTAAAAAAAAAAAAGTCCTATGGCAATGGAGGTGGTGGTTGTGTGCTATGGAGTTGGTTCCAACTCATAACATCCCTGTCTAGGATTTCCAAGGCTGTCAATCTTTATAGGAGCAGAAAGCCTCATCGTTCTCCCATGGAACAGCTGGTAGATTTATTTGAACTGCTTATCTTGCAGTTAGCAACCCGGCTTGTAATCCACCATGCGACCAGGGCTCTTTCAAAGTCCTGTGCTATCTACCCCTTCTAAAGTTCTAACACTAGTATATTGATCCTTAGCCACTACTGTTTAGAGTTATTCCAGTTTAGTAAGTTTTTTTGTCTGAATAACTACAGTTAAATGTTATGTACTGCCAATATTTTAACAAAATTGAATTTAAATGTCAGTATCAGAAATGCCATGGAAAAGCTAAAAATGGGGGAAGTGCAGTTTCGTTTCATCGCCTTAATTTTGTACTGTGTTCCTTAACACGGCAGTGTTCGTTTTCGCCCTTAGATTTTGAAGACGACATGATTGTAACATCTGATGTCTCCCGATATATTGAAGACCCTGGCTTTGGATATGAAGACTTTGCCAGAAGAGGGGAAGAGCATTTGCCAACGTTCCGAGCTCAGGTATAACAAATGTTTAATTCAAGGACACAACAGCATAAATACTGTTATTTTAACTGTTAAATTTCAAGTGTAAATAAATTGTCTTTTATAAAGAAATTGAATAGGTGTCCATAGGTGGTGCAAGGGGTCTGTGATCAGCTACTAACATTGTTAGTTTGAACTCACTCAGCAGTACTACGGAAGGAAGGCCTAGCAGTCTTCTTCCATAAAGATTATCACCAAGAAAACCGTAGTCTGTTACATGAGATCTCTATGAATCAATTCTGACTTGACAGCAACAGTTAGAAAAATTGGTAGGTCATTTTGTTCGGGTCTGTGAATTATTCTGTTTGACCTAGTTTGTCTACCTCCTCTAAGTTGATATCCAAGCGGATGGATAATTATTCCAACACGTAAGCAGTAAAAGTAAATGGCTTTCTTTGGTTATTTGCATTATTCCAGAATTACTGTATAATGTTCATGCTGTTTATTTGGAAGGGAGCAGGGAGAAACTCAAGCGACACAGTCACATTTATAATAAAAAGTTATTTGGAATGAGCTCATGTACCAGTAATTGTAGACTTAAGGGACATTGCCAGATGAAGAGCAGAGCAGTTGCCAACATTCTAAGCTCAGGCGTAAGATGTGGGAAACTACAGAATAAATGCTATCATTTGAAATGTTAAACATAAAACATATGTTAAACGGAAAACATAGCCACATAGCCATGCGGCTCTCTGAGAGGTTATCTGTTGCTGTTGTTCAGTGCCATCAAATAGGTTCGGACTCATAGTGACCCTGTATGGAGTTTCTGAGGAGCAGCTGGTGGGTTTGAACTGCCAACCTTGTGGTTTTCAGTCCAGTGCTGATCCTGTTGTGCCACACCAGAGAGAATATATAGGTTTAATTAAGCCAGACACATTGCTTGTTTCAGATGATCTGCTAATTGTCCATGTCACTGCGTCAGTTTGGTCACACAGGGATATTCTGAGACCTAGCTGGGGTCTTTCCACAAAAAAGCATTGGTGTGTTTAGTATGTGATCACAGGAAGTGGCCAGAGTCCATCCCTAACGCTGAGCTCTGGACTCCGCTGAAGAAACGCCATGCCACTCCATGATGTGAAAGGCTCTTAGTAAAACATTAGGAAAATCACAAACCTAGAATGTAAATTTGAAGTGTGTTCACTTAGCTGCTTCAGTAGTTAACTTTAACAGAAAGACAGAGTTTAAATGGAGAACGCCTATTTTACAACTGGAGGAATTTTACTCTTGTAGGACTATACTTGGGAAAACCATGGGTTCTCCCTGGTGAACAGGCTTTATTCTGACATTGGACATCTTCTTGATGAAAAGTTTCGGATGGTCTACAGTCTCACCTATAACACTATGGCCACCCACGAGGATGTTGACACCACCATGCTCCGCAGAGCTTTATTTAACTATGTTCACTGTATGTTTGGAATCAGGTATGTTCTCTATAGAGACAGCTTTATACAATCCTTGATGAAATGTATTTACTTGAGTCGTATCTACTTCCTATGTGGTGGTGTTGTGTGGTGTTGTGTACCGTCAAGTCAGTTCCAACTCATAGCAACCCTGTATAGAGTTTCCAAGAGCAGCTGGTGGGTTTGAACTGCCGACCTTGTGGTTAGTAGTCCAGTGCTTATCCTACAGCTCCACACACCTGGGCTTATTGTTTAGAAGTACACCATTCAGGTGATAAAGTTTAGACTTTTGATTGGGGAAAAAAATGTACTCCATTTTGTAGGAAAACATTTCTTGTTAAAGGATGCACATGAAGAGTAGTAATTTTCTAAGGAGGGGAAAAGCATCAGGAATCATCGCAGATAGATCGATTCGGACTTAGTTTGAGAATCCTTTGTGGAAGAATGTTGTTATTGTTGGTAAGTGCCATCAAGTAGATTCCGAACCATAGCGACCCTGATCGGGTTTTCAAGGAGCGACTGGTGAGCTTGAACTGCCGACCCTGCAGTTCAAACCGACTTTGCAGTCCAGCATATTAACCCACAGTGCCATGTCAGGACTCCTGGAAGAATAGATCAATTAAAAAGTATATATTGTGTTCCTTCAAATCATAGAAATAGGTACTGATTAGTTGTTTCTTTTTAAAATCTATTTTTGAAGGGATGGTAAATATAATATAAGTTAGACTGGAATAGATTTTGTTCTCAAAGCTTGTATGCGTTATTACCACATAAGAACGCTGAACAGCAACAACAAAATTTCCAACAAGTCAGTCAATATAAATGAATGGGTTTTAAATTTAGAAAATTAGAATTGAGAAGACAATGAGTGAAAAAGTAAATGAGATTGAATGGTCTTATCAGGAAAGCTTATTTTGGATAATTGGCTTTTTAAGGTGAACTTTCAAGACTTCTATGGCAATAAATTTATAGAAAGAAAATTTCCAGCTATGCTTATTACATTCATCTTGACTGTTTACAATATTCTTCCTGATGGTTCTAAAGATTTTATAGGATGGAATTAGAATTTGGAACTTAAGTTGTTGGGCAGCATGCTTAAATGGATTATCCCAGAATGTCCTGACAGATCAGTTAACAATGCGTCATTCTCTCAAAAAAAAAAAAAAAAAACCAGAATAATAAAACCCCACTTTTATCATGGTACAAAATAAGGATGTTATTGGCCACATTCCACCCTACAGAATAAGTTACCAGAGAATCATCACATTATAAAACACATATACTTTATACCTATCCAAGAAAAAAATAAACATTAATCGAACTTAATTGAACTGTAATAAATATGTATTATACACAAGGCAATAAATAATAAATGTACAGTTGTTATATTTATCTCGTGGATGCTTCTAAACAAAACTTACATAAATTCTCCAAGGTGGTTTTCAAAACTCATTGCAAAAACTCATGTCTGACTTCCTCTGGCTTCACTATGGGGAAGGTGAATCAAACTCCATACCTGCCCAAGGCTGATTCCTATGAATCGGGCATACCTCCACATTACAGCCTTCTTTATCCGATTCTGACATCAACCTTCCCTCCCACAGTACTCTGCTTCACATCTGGGTTCAATAATTCATTGCAATGGCCACACAGAACTCATAACAATACCATAATTATGGGGTTTACTTGGGAACTGAACAGAGTACAATTCAGGATCAGAAAGCTCAGAACACAGCAGTTCTCCTGTCAGAAACACCTCTTCTCTGCCATACTGCAGGCATGCCTCGCTCTTGTCTTCAGTCTCTCAGTCTTGTGACCACTTGACCTCTTCCCTTCTTGGGCAAGTGTTACAGAGCTCTTTTAGCCAGCCAGCCTCCTTCCCGTAGGCACTCAGCTTTACTCAGTCCATGGCCTAGAGCCAGCTGCTGCTCTGTCTCTCCATGCCATTGCCTCTGAGTCACCTCTGCTATCCCTGCTTTTCTAGGTAGGGTTCTCATGCTCTGTTCTTCCTTCTTGATGGTCCTGGGATCATCCATTCCTGCTTCTGAGATGGCGCCTTTTAAACCTAACTAGATGGCAGAACTAACCAATCCCAGCCTTAGAGTCCTGTACACCTTATTTGCATGGTTTCAACCTGATCACTGGGTGGGAATCAAGAAGACTTTCGTTAGAAAAGCCGTATCAAGTAAATTCAAAGTATCACACCCATAGTCTATATTACATTTAAATTTTTTTTAATTACGTGGGGGAAAAAAAGGACAAATTGCACAAACTCCTAATACAGCATTCACACACCTGCCTGCTTCGGTGCCTCTCCACTGTGCAGCCTCTGTGTTGTTACAGATAAACTGTCCCTTCTCTTCTCCACTTGGGCACCAAATGCCATTTCCTCACATCTTTTAAGAAATGCTCTTCTAGCAATTCTACCCTTCTTCCTCTGCATCATCAGCTTTACTGTTATTTCCCCCTTCTTAAAAAAAACAACAACAACTTCTTTCTTCTTTGCCCCTCTGACTACTACCCCTTGCACCTGCTCCCATGCACAGCAAATCTCTTGGGGAAAAATTTGGACATTTTCCTGTCTCCCGTTCTTTCATGACCTTTCCACACTATCAGGCTTTCACCCCTATCATGCCAACAAAACTGCTCTTGTTCAGGCTGCAGTCAACTCCACATAGCTCCTTCCACGGGTCATTTCTCAGTGACCGTTATATTTGTCTCAGCAGCAGCACTAGGCAGCTGATTACTCCCTCTTCCCTGAAATACTCTTCACTTGACTCCCACGTCAAAGCCTTTGCACTTGTCCATTACTTTAAGTATCATCAAGTTGGTTCAGACTCATAGCGACTCTGAATCGGATTTCCGAGGAACGGCTGTTGAGCTTGAACTATCGACCTTGCAGTTGAAACTGACCTTGCAGTCCAGTGCATTAACCCAGAGCACCACACCAGAACTCCAGCACAATAATAGGCATTCAGTAAATACTTGTTAAATGAATTAATGAGCTTTTGGTGTTTTGTTTACTAGATGATGAATTTCTCTTGTTATTACTTTATAAATTAAGAGTTCTGATTTATTATGTCATTTTAAAACTGGTATTTCATTGCTTAGGTATGATGACTATGATTATGGAGAAGTTAATCAATTACTTGAACGAAGCCTGAAGGTTTACATTAAGACAGTGACCTGCTATCCTGAGAGAACAACAAAGCGCATGTATGATAGTTACTGGCGTCAGTTCAAACACTCAGAAAAGGTAACTATTTCCTGACAAAACACTGTACCCTACATATATGCTCAATACAGGATGCAATGATTATGAGAAGACAATGATGCATGAATGTAGTAACAATTTTGGACCATTGGAAAAATGAAACTGGCATCATCTAGCTATATTTTTTAAATGTGTTTTCAATAATAGTAATTATTAACTAAGTTTTGTTTATATGTTTTGTCTAGTGTGTGTATAAATAAATTTTTTAATTAGTCTTTGGAAAATGAGTCCGTATATTAATCATTTGGGAAATAATCTGCCATTTTAGTTATTCATTAAAAAATCAAATCTGTTGAGATGCTGTGTTCATTGTAATTGTATCTTGGCCTAGTAGACATATTCATTTAGAAATTCTTTAACTTTATTTAGCCATTGGGGTCAACCTATTAGAACAATAATTTCTCATTTCATTTTGGTAACTTGGTATTTTGACACTATAATCTGGGACTTTTGAGCCAGGTACTATAAAAGAATTTTGGGGGGATGAAATATATAGGAACCATCATTTAAAATCTAATAACAAATTAGCTTTACCAACATAGTACCAAAGGTGGCCTTAAATCATAGGTCTTTTGACCTTTAGCTCCAAGGATCTTTCTTTCATACTAAAATTTCCAGTGATGAAAGTAAAAAAATCTTTGCATGGCGTGATGCTGTAAATGAGCACTGAACCTCAAGGTCAGCTTGAACAAAAGGTCAATGGTTCAAACCTACCAGCCACTCCTTGGAAATCCTATACAGGGTCCCTATGAGTCAGAACCAACTTGACGACACTAAACAACAGCAAAAACAACATTCACTAAAGGACTCTGGTGGCATAACAGTTAAGCACTTGGTCTGCAGTTCGAACCCACCAGCAACACCACAGGAAAAAGATGTCTGCTTCTGTAAAGACTGTTGTTGTTAAGTGCCGTTGAGTCATGCTGACCCATAGCGACCCTGAACAGGGTTTCCAAGGCTGTAAATCTTTACAGGAGCAGAAAGCCTCATCTTTCTCCAACGGAGCAGCTGGTAGTTTCGAACTGTGGACCTTGAAGTTCACAGCCCAATTTGTAACCACTGTGCTACCAGAGATCCTTTCTGTAAAGATTACAACTTCGGAAGCCCTATGGGGAAGTTCTACTCTGTTTTATCAGGTCTGCTATGAATAGGAATTGACTCTGCAAGAGCAGGTTAACAGGTTTCAGCAGTGACTAATTAAATGTGTGACCTTGGCATACAGCCTCGGTATCGAACAGATTTTTTTGAAGTCTTAAAATCAACCAGACATCAGGTAGTACCCATTGTGCCTCTGGCATTTTTCCTGGTGGATGGACCTTTGTACTCAGTTTATATGTTTAGAGTAGATTTTTTTTCGCTTTCTAGATTGTGTCTAGAAATTCCCTTCATGCATCAGGAAAATATATCACCAACAATATATCTACCGTTAGAAAGAGGAAAACAGAATTTAAATATATTATAACATACCAAAACACATGGGTATTCATTTTAACCTAGAACTACCCCCAAAAGAAGTTAAGAAGCACTTGTCGATGACTTTATCTAACAAACTCTAGGGAGCCTACACACATGTAATGCTTTAAGCATCCAGTTTGCACTTCAATATCTCTCAAGTGAATAACAGAAAATTTTAAAAACTTTTTCCAAATAATAAACATATGCTGTAACAAATGCACAACAACAAGAAGAAATGTAGCGCTGGTTTTTAGCCACATGACATTTTACACTTAGTGGAATGAAGTATAATTTGTAAGAAAATTGTAATTTATAAAAATTAATTTTGTAGCCCAAAAGGTACATTGGCTTTATGTAAAATGTACCCCAACAACAACATTGTGGTTTTTAAGCTGCTCACAGAGGTCTTTTTTTTTTTTTTAAGAAGTGACAGGTTTCTTGTGAGAGCTACATCACATGTACGCATAAATATGCTCAGGCACATGCGTTCGTATTTCTCTCTATGTTGTTGTTAAGTGCTGTTGAGTCAGTTCCGACCCTTAACAACTCTGTATAGGATTTCTGAAGAGTGGCTGGTGGGTTTGAACTGCCAACCTTGTAATTCAAACTGACCTTGCAGTCCAGTGCGTTATCCTTCAGTGTCACACCAGGACTCTATATCTCTCTCTAGACACATGAAACACATTTGTGAGTAATCATATATCAAAATTGTTAAAGTTGTTTATAGTGTTTACTACACTGACCATATTTTTATTTCTAGGTCCACGTAAATTTACTTTTAATGGAAGCACGGATGCAAGCTGAACTTCTTTATGCTCTTCGTGCCATCACTCGGCATTTAACCTGAAGCATCGCCCAGGGAAAGTGTCGTATACTTTACAGATCTTCTCACATAAGATATACATCAGAAGCTGTTTGTGATGTAGCATCAAAAATTATCCAATTCTCTAGTGTCAAAGTTTAGCCGGTTTTTTTAACGGCCGTAATGTGCAATGATGTGTTTTATTTTTCTTGATGCTTAACATTACTAACAACTGCAAAAATAATACTGAGGAGCACTACTTTGCATTGTTTATAGTTGGATTTTTGGATACTGACCATAAATCATGAACCTGGTTTGTTAATGCTTAACTTCAGCATTTTTGGGTTTGTGTGTATGTGTATTTTTTTTTTTTCACTTTCGATTTTTTTTTTTTTTTTACATATGGTTTTTTGTTTTTCTTTTTAAGTAAGAAAAAGCGCTTACAATCGTACGATTTTCCGATATTGGAGTTCAGCACAGAATGGCCCACTCTGGTCATTCTGAAATCTTGATGTTATGTCTTAAATCTGGTAAAGGAAAAGCATGCGCTGTTGAACCAAGCTGCTCAATGGACACATTTGTGTCCCCAGGAGATTATTTGTCTGGCACTGTTTTGTTTTGTTTTGACTGCTATTGGCGATAACGTGAAATGTGATACAGCCATTGTCCATACTTTAATGTGAAATTAATCAAGGTGAATTCTATAGCATGCTACTGAAATGCCAAATTCAGCTATTTTCTTTCTCTTCTGAAACAGAAGTTTCAGGTTTCCATAGCAGATGTATATATTAACGGTGGAAGTATGCATAGCCCTTTGTATCCCTGACAGAACTCCTCAGTCATCTTCAGTAAGCAGTGTCCACAGTGCCGCTCACCATTCATTTGTTGGTACTTGGAAACCTGCACCCACACAAGACTGACCAAAAATTGTCTTTGCACATTTTTTCCTTTCTCATAGTTGGTTTTGTTTTTTTACTTCCTATATTGTGGTAAGCAAAGGAAGCTTAATATACCTGTATTTTTCCTTATTAGGCTTTTAGAAATTACTTACCATGATTTTACTGCTTATAATAGATTAGACAGTTTAATATTGAAAGATAGAAATTGTGTTTCTATGCATTCGCGTGATTGAACAACAACAACAGAGTGCAATACATTAAAAGAAATACTCAACTAAATTCTCCCTGATTATGCCACTGCAGAAGTGTCCTTCTAAACATAGCCATAAAGAAATTGTGTTCAAATTTCTTTATTTCACGAGGCTTTTTCTTTCTTTCCTTTTCAGTTTTAACTACCTGACTGAGGTGGAACAATGTTCTTTTCATAATGCCAAAGCATCCCCTTCCCCAGAGAAATCTCTTTTGGACAACTGGTTTAAAAAAAACAGATAAAAATAATAAGTATAACAAGTCGTAGGGGAAGGCTAAGTGGCCAGAAAGTCACATTTTTGCATTGGTTGGAGTTGCTTGATTAGACTATTTTCCAAGAGCACAACACTATGTGTTTATAGCTTTAATTTGTACTATGTTAATGAACCAGTGAAGTGCCTAAAGAGATGCTTACAATTTTCCAGTAGGACACAGCTGCACTGCTTGAACACTTTTTGGTTAATTAAGGGTGACTTGAATTTTGCACAAACATGCTGATTTTTTTAAACAGGCCTTTTTTTCATAGTAAATAAAATTTTCCGTTAGCGATCTCACGAAGGTTTCATTGCAGACTTCCTTATTATTTTTGTCTCATGAAAGAGTTGTGGACTAGTCTTTGTTAAATCATTTCCCCCCTTCCATTGTCAACCTTTTCTCTTACCACATACTAGGTTGAATTCTTTTAGCTCTTGTTCCAAATATGAAAAGAAAAAGATTATTATAAATCTATTACTGCAAGGTATATCTGCATTTTTTGTTCCAAGCTCTTATTTGAAATCTTCCATGTGAGGGGAAAAAAAAAAAATTACTAATATTTTTGAAGACAGGGTGGTTTGTTTAAGGAGATTATTCAGAGAACTGTGTCACTTCTCTTTTGTTAATTTCATATAATTGTTGATTCAATCCAACAGCATATTATATTGATATGTATCAAGTATAAAGAACGTATTTAGGAGAATGGCAAAATATAGATGGCAACATAAATATCCATTTGACTACCCAAACTTTAGAATTGTCACATTGAGGTTATTTTTTATTGTTTGCGTTTGTTTTATTACTAGAATTCTTTTACTTAATAGCCCTATATTTTGTGCAGGTGAAGTGTATTACAGGATGGAAATGATTTTTGTATCCTAAAATGGAGAAGTTATCACAGAACACCATAGGAGCTTTAGACCAAAATGAGAAACTAAGTTTAAGTAACTAAAAAGGCCACTTAGCTTTTTGTTGGTTTTATTTGTTTGTTTTGTTTAATTTCTTCCCTAGAAGCATAAGTAATTGGAGTTTGGGTTATGGAAATATTAGTGCCTTTACTAGATCTCTTTCCTAGCTCTGTTTCTTCTTTAGCTCAGCATTGGTCTGTCTCATCAGTAATCAGGAAAATAAGTTGACTTGGAACTGTAAACAAAAACATAAGTATATATTTGTGAACCTCAGTGAACCAGCCTAGAAACATTGGCTTCTGAAAGTGCTAAAGCCCTTGGTAAGACGCAGTGTGCCCAGCATTCCAAGTTGTGAATACCATTTTGCAACGAGTTTGCTGTTAACCTTTCTTTAATGCAAACTTGAAGTTCTGATGCGGTTTTCCAGGGTGGTATTTTTTCAGAGTATTGAATTTACTATGTAGTAATTTATAGTATAGCTTTTTATATTCAAATGTGATATTTTTAAAAGAGATGTCTGGTTCAATTGGTGTAATTATATGATTATACGATATGCTAACCTACACCTTGGGCTCACATTGTGCCAAACTTATATGTGCAAGTGTACGTTCAAAAAGCACATGTGAATGTGAATCTTCTACGTTATGTTACAATGCGTGTAATGACCCACTGATGTCTATTCGTGAGTAATGTGTACTTCTTGCTGGAAGAACAAGTTTTCCAGCTTCAGTCGTAATCCTTGATTTCTCACATCACCTTAAGAAATATCTGAGTTCTCTTCCATCTAAAAGTAAACCTGCTCTTTAACATGATCACTAGAGTGTGAGAGTGGCCAGGCAGGTACTTTGTTGGATCCTTCACATTTGGTTCCCTCAGGTGGACTTGTGATAATGAGGGGAAAACGAGACTGAGATGAGACTAGTTAAACTTAAGTATATCGTCTCGGTCTCAGAAAGAATCTTTGTCCCATTTGGAAAATTTTAAAAAATAAATAAAAGATACCTGGAAGCTGGAGCCTGGCCTTGGCCCTTAATTGTGGCTTTAAAACTGAAATTGTGGCATAACACCATAGGGCTGTTTTCAGAATAGAAGACTCACTCTGAGCTCTATATCAAAGTAATATTTGAACCAGAGCCCCTACTTTACTTATGTTATAATAGCTCATAGAGATTTTAAATTATTCCAGAGCAACTTTTTCCTTTTCCACCTTATAACGTTTTGGGGAAATACTTTTAGGATATTATCCCGCAGCAAAATAAAATTATCAGCAAACAATTAAAGATAACAACTCAAAACAGTTCGATTTTTGTTCAGAATGCACACACAGATGATGGTAAGATTCTTTTAAATTCTAAGGACAATTCACCAGGAAAGAAATTTCAGTGCTTATGATAGAAATCATTTGCACTGTGTTGGTAAAATGAGGTTTTTATTACGTTGTGTTTTAAAGACAATTGTAAATCACTTTTCTGGAAAACAAGACCTTTATCTTTATCCAAGAGGACTGTCTCTTCTTTTATGCAACTATACATCCTTGCATGGAGTGAAAAGCTTGCAATAGACAGTTGATGTTACGTGAGTAGCATATGAAATGTTCTTAACAGTATATACAATTCAGCAGCAAACTAAAAGATTTGTGACTCCTCTGTTCAAACTAAATTTCAATTTGGGTGATTTGTAGAGTCAGAACTTATTCTAGGGGGACAGCATCATAGACTGTTTCCCTATTTTATCCCTCTGGAGACTGAGAATCAAAATAAGTTGTCTTTCCTCAAAGCAGTACTGTAACATGAATGTATTCATCTCAGTCAACAGAATTGAAATGCCCACTGTAATGTGGGGCTTATTCTTACTTCAGCGCTAATTTGGCATCTTTAGCAATGTCTGCTCAGGTGAGACCTAGAACAAAAATAGCTGGGGTGAAATGGATCATAGAGGTAGAGGTGTATATTAGGGTAGAGCACTGTAAGGAAGGAACAGTTTCTCAGAGAACAACACATGGAGCATAATCTGAGGGTGTGGTTGTCCTCCCACCTATTGTAAAGAAAACATTCCCACCTGGGAGCTCCTACCTGCATTCAGTCCACCCTTTCTTACCTACTTTCTCTTCCTTCAAGTGCCTCAACCTCTACATGCCCTCTTTCCAGCCCTTCCTGTAACCCTGTAACCAATCCTGATGCAAATGCCTTTAGAACCCAAGCCAAACATCACCAGCCACCTGCTCATAGTCACCAGCATCCCCTTTTCTGAGTGACTTTTGTCCCACTCATTAAGAATGTGATTTTACCAGGACTCCTTTTTAATCCCTCAACCACCCAGATATATTTTGGCTGACCTTTACCCTAGACACCAGATGCTACGCAGCATCAAGTGTAATCTTGTCCGTCCCATACCATTCTTCTCTTCCTAGCTGCCAAAATATCCTACTGTCCTCTACCTCATCCCCAAAGAGCCTATAAATTTGGAGTATCCAACCTTTTCATGGATTTACTCCCACTTGTTCATTAATACAACTTCCATATTTTAAATAAATCATAAAAGATTTTCGCCTTCTATCAAAGTAGGAATCTTTATATTTATACATGATACAGAAATTGAACTATTTCTACCATGCAGACTTTAGCATTTAACAGAAGATTTTAAAGTGATTGAATTTCCATTCAAACTTGGATCTATAATAGTAATGAATACTAGTGTTAATTCAAGTTATTTGAATGTAAAGTTAAAATTCCCCAGCAATCCAGATTGATCTGTAACCCTTCAGTGGAACCAGAAATTCCTGTCGTATAAATGAGTGCTGTTTCAGACAGTTGTTTCATTAATATTGTTGGGACCTTGAAACACATTTTTAATACAAGGATTTGTATGAGAAGTGTTGCTTAGGTGGTCCTACCAGAACACAGAAGCCCATGTGAACCATACGATATAAAGATAAAATACCACAAAATGTGGCACATAAGGTTTGATCAGGCTTTCCCAGATTAGACTAGGACTCTAGCCTCC